GTCCAGTCGAAATGGGAAGGCCGTGGGACACGGGAGGATGGCGGCCGACAGACAACCAAGCCGCGTCTCAAAGAGGTGAAAATGGTATAAGATATTGAGGCGTAAGGTGAAGGCAAGGCGGAGGGGCTTGAAGGTTTCCCAGATACTCATTCTCCTGGTAATCAGAAAAAAGGATCAGGTTTTGGGCATGGTAACCATCCATGGGACAAGAGGGATGGGGCTTTCGAACAAGCCGGCGTTGTAATGCGGTTTCCGAAGCCACGTCCTCTGCGAAACCAATTCAGAGGACACTGGTCTCAATGTGTTTGGGGAAACAATACCTACACTGTACTGTTACGTGTCGAATTATATTCTCATCATCGTCTACCATGATTTCATGATAAAGTACGACGTGATGGGGGATTCCTCGGTGGTCATTGAATATATCGAAGGACTAAACAACGTTTCGCTTTGGACGGCATCAGTATTGCTCTGCATCTAGTCACTTTGCCCTGCGTTCGCCGCCGAAAAGCATCAATTTGGTATCCATACCACGAAGATATATTTCTTTGTTTGTTCGAAGTCCGGTAGTGACGAGGATCAAGTTTGAATGTTTACTAGCCTCTACCTAGGTAAGGGATGAGGAAGAGAAGGAACGCAGACTGATGGACTGGGAAAGAAGGCATGAGCTCATGGGTCTCCCTGAGGTAGCTTGCACGCCCCCGTCCCTTTGCCATGGTTTCCAAATGGATTCTTCTTTTGACGGTATCACATATCGGAGACAAGGGGGTAAAGATGAGCTTGGACGATTGTAGCCATGTTTCGTAGGTGGTCTAGATTCGAGATCAACACATTCCCTCCCTTATGGATATCATTTGCAAAGCGGTCTTTTGGTCATGGTATCGACTTTGGGGTTAAATGCCTGATTGCGGTTCAGAGGTAAAATCACCTAGAACCGCGATATTGACCGCCATTCATGACGTGGAAGATTCTACATTGCACATCGAGCTAATGTGTTTAATGCTAGGATGTCTCCACGACGTGATGCTGTATTGCGCGGTAGAGGGTGGGATAGGCAGCGTCAGGATGTAAGAGCACAGTCCTTACTACACGTTTGAACTCGACTTTTTGTGTGAGCATTTCATTGCGAGGTTCTTGGGGGTGGGGGCAGATCCATTGCAAGGCGATCGAGTGCGTGCCAAATTGTCGCAAAAGATATGGCTTATGAGATGGTAGTATCCCGTATCCAAGAATGGATTGGCTACTCGAACTCGCAAAGTTTGTTTGATGTCAAGGGCGTTCTATGCTCGAGCTTGAGGCTCTATCCCAAACCAGAGAGTAATACTCACCTTTGAACTCACATCAAAGATTACGTGATTGATATCACAAGGGATAGATTGTACCTAGTCAAGCACCGGCACAAGTGACGATTCCCAATGAACGGGAGAGAAAGGAACGGCAGACGTATTGGTCCTTGAAATATCCTCCATCAGCTACTTCTGTCGAGGGAGAAGAATAGCATCCCTTCCGCTAGGAGAGCACATTCCGTTCCCATGTTCAACCGATTGTCTTCTTACAGATCGTTGTTGCGTTGCGACGTTGGCAACTGAAGAAGAGCCGGAGGATCATATCACCGTGGACGGGCTAGATAACTTCGTCGCAGATATAATGACCAGTCAATGTTGTTGGCTGGAGCTGAGCGGCGACAGCATGGTCTCGCCACCAACCCTCTCCGAGGCTCCGGCGCCGCGTAGTGCCTTGATCACAACACTCGTTGAACTTTCTCAAATACAGGAACAGGAGGAGGTTGGGAGAAATCCGGTCATGTATACAAACACATCCGTGCCCATCCACGTGCGGTCATGTCAGCACGTCCTAGAAGGTTTCATGGAAGTTCTCTGCCTGGCCCGGCGGCGGTCAAAGAGTCCTGTTGGGGTTATTTGCCCTGGGAGAAAAAGCTGGGGAAGTCCAGAGCCCCGATTCGGCTGCAGGCGCTTGAGCGCGGGGGAGTGTTGACAATGTCATTGTGGTTGTGGCCACGCGGAGGCTCTCGCGGCAATGTCACTTGTTCGGTGGGATGAGGTTGAACCGACGATGCTGCAGGAAACGGATGCCGCAGACGACGAACTGAAGCATTTAGCGCCAGGACATGCGTGAGGATTACTTCATAGGCAGTCGAGGTCCGTCCAAAGCACTTCGTGGCCAAAGGCCCATTCAAGGGACTAAAACAGTCCGTCATCTTTACCGAGCGGCTCCAGAAGGATACACATCCTCATGGAGCCTTATGGACGGCGCGAAACGGAGTGACCGTATGGGCGAAACGAGGAGGATCGCTTACACGATGCTCCTCCTCAGTAAGTTGAAGCCGTTGCCCAGGCTAAGACTCGACACAGCACGCCAATCGGCTTTTGTTGGTAGAACATGGATACTGTTGGTTGAGTCCTTGCCAGTGCCCAGCTTTGGAAAGGGATAGAGTCTTGAAGCAGGGGAGCCCTGTTCCCGGGTCACGGCATGATTTTGCCCCTCCAGACAACGTCGGACGAACCGCTCAGGGGAACCAGTTCAACCGGCCGGGCCATTCCTCATGCCGCCACGGGTACGAAATCGTTATTCGACGAAACTGTCCCACGATGGCCGATAATTTGCCATGCCAAGGGACGAAGAAGAGCTGGGTGGTCAGTGGTTCGCGGGAGTCCGCAGACACGGCGTCCGAATATGGGACGAATATGTCAATGATTGGTGTCGAACAGCAGCGGGAAGGCGTAAGGGTCTGGAGTTGGCAGCATGCCATTGTGGCGTCGAGATTGAGGTGTTGCTTTTCTAGAGTTACAATAGAAGCTACCGACTTGGGTGTTCAGCTCAATATCCGGAAAGGTACGCGAAGTACCAAGATGAAAAACAACATAATTAAGAAAGCAAACTTAGGATCGCCAGTATGGGGGAGGCTCATGCAGTGAGGCTTTGCTCGTATCAAAGCGAGCAGGGATGCGAGGACCCCTTTATGCGATGAGGCGCAGAACGTGGGGCAACTTGTAAGTGCTGTGGTATACCATCGGCAGTCAGGCAGTCAAACAAGGGCATTCGACAACGACTACCCAAAAAAAATTGAGGAGAACAACGCTTCGTAAGCTTCCGCTGTTGCGTGACCTGTGCTGTCATTAAGCACACGGCAAGAGTCGACGCTAAAAGAAATTTCTTCTCCCTTGGCTTGCTCGATCGGGCAAAGGAATGTGTGGACCCTTCAATTTCACAGGTGCCTGGCCGAGAGCGCGACTAAATGAATAGCGGCGCCGGCAGCGCGGTTTCGACCCAGATCAGCCATTGGATAGTGTCGTGGATGGACGTGCTTTGCTTCCATCGAGACATCCAGACCGTGATGAGAAGGAAAATAGAAACCTGGTTTGTTGCCTTTCAAAATAGTTGCAAAGCCATTGTTTCCAGACGCAAGCCTCGAAACAATGCCGAATCCGTGAAGTCAGTAGCAGGCGTCAGCCGATGAGATGAAAACAGAACGGCCTACGTCAGAAAGTTTGTGACCGTGGGCATGACCATGGCCATTTCGATGCGCTTGCCACCTGTTCCTTGTTTACCAGAGTCAGAATCAGACACCTGAGTCAAATTGTCTTTTTTACCCCAAGGCTCAACCAGACTCAGGGGCCATCTGTCAAGCCGTCATTGTCCATCAGGCCGTCTCGTAACGATGGATCTATGTACATACCCCAAATCGAGACCCAATGCCGTGGAGAGTATCACTGGGCTGTCCATGTGAGGGGTCGAAAGTTTCGTCCAAAGCTTAAGTGGATTCTGGGTGGACTCGTTGGTCGGCAAAAGAGTTCAATATGTATGTGCGGCGTCCGGTGTGGTTGAAGGGAGAGCTGAGCAAGTGTTCCGGCATCATTGGTGGTCCCCGCGCTTGTGCGTTGTGTTGGCCGCGTACTGTATTGGGAGGATACACTAGGACTCGTCGAGGATGGGCACGCAAACACAGAACTATTGTATGCAGGCCTAGACGACATGCTCGCGATCCGATCGCGCCGGGTTGTCATGGTTCGCGTTGGAAGTCGATGAGCACGCCTCTCGTAATCTCGATCAGCTGGAGAAAGGCAGAAAAGATCTGACAGGAAAATCAGCTGGAGGACGATCAATGGAGACAGAATACCGGGGCCAAATGTCATGTCTATTGCCGGAAAAGCGCGTCTTTGGAAGTTATTGACGCATAGCCTGGTATCGCAAGCATGGGTCTTCCGTGGCCTAGTCGTTCGTGCCAGTCTAGCAAGATGCTAGGAGGAGTCGAGGTGGGGGATTGTGGTTCGATGATATCAAGGATGAGCGACGTTGTGTTTGCTGGTGAAGTAAGATGAAGGCTCCCTTTCATTGCTTGGAGAGTTAGGGAACTTGCAAGATTCAGAGTCAATTCCACGTTCAAAATCATAGTACGTAGTGACGTCTCCAACGTACGATATTTCTGAAATGGAAGGCAAGTGTTCGTCCACATCGGTTTTCTCTCTTGCCTTTCTAGATGCTCGTCTTCCAGGTTGCTGCCTCCCTTGAATACACCGTTAAGCTAAGGCAGGAACCGACCTAAGACGGGATGGGCTAGTGGATCTGGAGAAGGCTTAGCGTAGGTGGCACCTGCTTTCTCGGCCCTGGTCATCAAAAAGCGCCGGCTGAGTACCTACCGTGCTACCGTGGGTGCGTGGTACCTTACCTTACTTTACTACTTTGTACCTGGAGATCATCCTCGTCCCGCTGCGTCGGTGCAACTCTTTCATTTCGCATCCATCACGACTTTTTCCCTCCAAGGTCTTCAAAGTTCAAGATCTCCACATCCCGTTTGACCGGAGACGTGCAGGTGCAGTTTGCAGGTGCAGCGAAGCTATGGACTGCAACACCACCCCACCCCACCCTGATTGACCACTGACCTGTTCAAGGAAGACAAGCCAATGTTCGTCCTGCGCGGCACCGCGGCTACCGGCCTTGTCTTGCCTCGGGTGCGCCACCGATCTTGCGGCGGACCTGATTCACTTTGCAATAATCTCCTTTTTTCCTCGATGGTGTACCCTATTCGTTCTTGGAGGCTTGGAGCTCAGCTGATGAACGACGTCGGCCGAACCGCCGCCGCTACCGTCTATCCAACGCTGTCGGAAAAAAGCAATTTATCGCATTACCTATAGCGATACGTTTGACCTACACGTCCGCATCTGGACACGAATTCATGCGGGTGGCAGAAGACTATTGAAAAAGCTCAAGTCGATTTTCCCATTCTGGAAATGCAGACGACGTGGCCGTGGAAAGGCAGCAAAGGTTAAACATGATTTCCACATCATGATGCGTACGAACCACGATGCTGCCACAGATGGATGAATACCTTACGGCTGTGGCTGACTCGTCATGGGTCAGACAGAATCTGACTGCGAATGGGGATCCGGATACCCAAGATGCAATGCCATGCGCTGCCTGCCCATGCCAACTCACTCTGCGCTGCGATGTGCTGTAAACTGCGGACTGCGGACTGCGTACTGCACATGGCGCTTGGCCAATGCAAATCGTTCGCGCGCCCGTCTCGGGCATTTCTGTGAGGACAGACTGGACAGGACGGGACGTCCGTTTTGGCACCAAAGAGGTCGTGGAGGTGTCGAAGAGCAGCAAGGCTAGAGCTTCTCGCATCCCCATGGTCATCCCGTCTCATCCTGTTTCTCTCTCTCTCATCTCATCCAATTCACCATCTCATCCCTCCCGTCCGTCCATCCATCCATCCAATCCGTCCACCTTCCTCACTCACCTCACAACCAACGCAAGCCCCACGGACCCCTCCACCCCTCCCTCAGAGGCTGCACCCTCCATCTCGTCGGGCTGTTGTTCCCACTTCCTTGCTGTTCCTGATCGTCTTATTCCCATCCGAGTCAAACGCTAAAGCGCGGTATGCCGGGATTAGCCCCTGTCCCTGTAATTTAGGATGGACGCGCCTCAACTTCCGACGACTGCTCACCTACGTAGTACGCAGTATTCACAAGTACCAACAGCTTCCTCATCACACCTTTTTCTCTCAACTTACATTGTCTTTGGCTACATTTGCGTTTGCTACATTCTGGTGCTCTTCAGATCTCGCCCTTGGAACCCGTGATATAAGCTATAGGTTCAGCCAGCAGACCGGCATTCCTATTGACTGCCGCCGCAAAGTCTGGCCATGCCGCGGCCTTGTCAGAAGACTAGTTGTCCACGACCCGTCTGGACGTCATGCCTGGACGCCATGGACTCTCGACTTGATCTTCTTGGCCGTCTTCTGGCCGAGAGCCGCAGGTCACTCGCTTGTACCCGATGCCGCCAAGAAGGACCTCGCCCTCTCGGTTGGCCACCCTCACTTTGCCTGCCTGCGTTTCTTTTCTCAGAACGTCCGTGGTATTCATCTCCCGTACCCGCGCGCCGTCTTGTTTGTCCTTCCTCTTCCGATCCTGAGCCGCTACGGTTCTTGCCATCCCAGTTAGGCTGGAAGCCCATCACTGCGAGAAGGTTGTAGAGCATGCAAGGCAGCTCCAATCTTGGTCTGATCTCACTCTTACCATGTACATGGTGGCTAGAAAGGAAGCACTCCATAATCTTTGGCCATCTCAAAGGGTTCCATGCGTTACCTCAGTCCCGGAGGTTTATTTCGTCATGTGGGAAGGATTGCACATTTCGCTGTGACGAGTGCATCGTAGCTGAAGCCATCCGCGTGTACTCGTGCACCAATGATGCCCTGTTCGGTGTCACCAGCCGGGTCCGCATCTCTCCCATGGATCTCCCACTCCGGCATTAACACTCTCCTCCTTGTCCTATATAGTTTGATCACCTCCAGGTCTCGACTCCACTCCATGACATCTGGGCTGTTCCCTGCCCCTGTCTGTACCCTTTCTTTTCTTCTTTTCCATCCTCCCCTCTTCTCTGCTGTCAGCCCGGGAGCTGTCTTGTCCTAATCCCCCACTGGTCCCTGGGGTTCGAGTCGATGCTGGCTGACCATTGTTCGTTCATCTAATAATACCTTCCTTCTCCCAGCTCCCCCCTTCAGCTTGCCCGTGTCTTCCACCGACTCTTTTCTTGCTGCCGGCATCCCCTCCTCTCTTCACGTCACAAGTGGTTCAGGTGAATACAGACTATCGATGCTCGGAAACTGCTTCGACAACACCAAACACTAATACTGGTATAATAATTTGGATTCGACACCTGGTGGCCAATTCGTCATCATGGCGAGGTGGAATCGTCTGATCTCATGGGGCCTTCTCTTAATCTTCCTTCAGGCGGCTGTTGCTCAAGCTTTGGTGCCCGTCAGACGTCAAGAGAGCGGGACTACTACAGCAGCCGTTGCCTCTTCTACTTTGTCACGAAGCGCACAAGATGCTGAAAGTACTACATCGCCGGCATCTTCACTAAGGACAGCGGCAGTCACTACCACCGAGTCGCCTTCTGTTTCCGCTACAGTCTCTAGTCCTCCCATCATCCCAACTACTGGCAGCACCTCTGGAAACTCAAGCCTTGACAATTGTAAATGAACTTCTCATCGAACACCTAGCACCAACACCAAACCCTAGACAAGGCTGACATTTGATACAGCTACCATGCTGGCAGGAGAGCTACCTATTGAGCCAAAGGTCACACCAGGCTGGGCTGTCGCTGGTGTCATCTTGCTCTGCACTGGGGTCATCTACAGCTTGATTGGTATCAAGAATACAGTCTTGCACACTGCCTTCTCCGTTGCGTACGTCGTCGCCTTGGGTATCACAGTCTTGGTCGTCTATGTCATGGTCATTCCAGTGTCCAACGGATCCCAAGGAGCCTATGTCGTCGCAGCAGTTTTACCGGCCGTCGCAGTTGGCGTTCTCGCTTCCTGGTTCTTCAAAGAAATTACGGAATGCCTGGGATGTGCTCTCGGCGGATTTTGCTTTTCAATGTGGCTGCTTTGCGTCCACGAGGGCGGCCTGCTTACGGGAGTCGGCAAAGTCATTTTCATCATTGTTTTCTCACTAGCAGGCTTTGCATTGTACTTCAGCCGATGGACTCGGGACTGGGCGCTCATGTGTACGATCGCCTTCAGTGGTGCCACGGCAACTGTGCTCGGAATCGACTGCTTCAGCCGGGCTGGGCTGAAGGAGTTTTGGGCGTACATTTGGGACCTGAACGACAACCTCTTCCCTCAAGACACCAACACGTACCCGCTAACAAAGGGCATTCGCGTTGAGATTGCCGCTATAATTGTAATCACTGTTATCGGCGTCATTTCTCAGAAGAGATTGTGGAACGTCATCAAGGATAAACGTACGAAGCGGGAAGAGGAAATGGCCGAGGCGCAGCGTGCCCGTGATGACGAAGAGGCCAACATTGGAAGAGAGCTCGAGGCTCGCACCGCTTTAGAGCGACGGGCGTGGGAGAGAGCGCACGGAGATTACACACCAGACAGCGATGATCACGACTCCGGCTTTGCTCGCGACAGCGAGAGCGAGAAGGCTATTCGATACAGCCAGAGCACCGCTACTCCTCGATCACACGCCCCTCCCATGGCTGAAATGCAAGGGTCGGATGTTTCTCCCGCTGTTCCCCCAAAGCCAGAGTCTCCAGGTCTGATGGTTTCCGAAAAGGAGAAAGAAGTCGTTGTGACATTACGCGTCGCTCCGGATGAAACTCACAGAGAACCCGTTGCTGCGGACAACGTCACTGGTCCTACTGTTGTTCAGAGCGTGCAAGAGGTGGCACCGGTCCCTGAAGTGGTACCTTTGCCATTCAGATTCCCTGATGAGGAGGCTCTAGCCAGAGACAAAGAGGAGCGGTCCACGATCGCAACTTTTGCCGACGATGATGAAGAGATTCAGGCAGGCGTCGGCAGCAAGAGGAGTTCCTTTGCGAAGCGACTCTCTCAGAGCTCGGTACAGCTGATGCGGAGGGTTTCTCAGCGGACATCGATGTCGCATCGTAAGGAAGATGACGGTGATGAGGAGCTGGCGGTGCTTCAACGTCCAAGGGACGACGACGCTGTGTCTCTCGCGGCAACTGTTGACACTCAGAGCGACAGCGGCGCCGGATCTGTGAACGGTGGTCACCGTCGCAGTATTGAGATCAACGCACAGCTCTCTGGAGAGCAACAGTCGAGCATCAAGCCGGAGACTACTACATCAGCATCGGCATCTCGACAGAGCGTCACCGATGGAGACTCCGTTAGACCAGTGTCAGCCATGACGGCTGTCACTGACATGCCAGCCCAGCCTCTGGCCAAGGATGCGACTCCTGCTGCTGTCGAAGAGAGGGCGCCGGAAACCACAATCGGTGATGTTGCTCAAGAAAACAGCTCGGTGAAGCTGTCTGAGTCGGGCGAGAGTCGACAAGTCCCCGTCCCTTCTCAGCAAGCCAAATCAACAGCCTCGCTTCGTTCCACGCCTCTGAATCTTACCCAAGAGCGTCTGCCGCCCAGCTTCTCCAACGTTGCGCTACACTACCGCACAAACGAATGGGCAAAGCACCTTAGCCACGCCGACGCACCCGAGCCTGAGATCTTAAAGGTCGGAGACGACAGACCGCAGACCCGGGAAGCCCCAGCTCCTGTGCACATCGATGAGCTTAAGCAGACGGCCTTGTCTGCCACGCCTGCGCCTGCACCAACTCCTTCGAGATCGCCCGCTCCCGTCGCGACACCTCCGCCGGCCTTGACCCGACCCAAGTCAACCCAGTCACCGAACCGTGGCCACTCTAGAAGCAGCTCGTACCAGTCACATCGCCGTGCTTCGAGCAAGACGCAGTTCGAGCCCATCGCCGAGGAAGAGCAACAGGCGCTCTCTAGAGCTGCGAGCACAAGAAGCGGCGCCTCTGGCATCGCTAACTCAGCAACAGCTCCAGCTGTCTTTGTTCCCCCGCCGCCGCCACCCGGCATCATGTCTTACGACAGCCCTCAGAGCTTGATCGCACAGAGAAGCGTCGCTCTGCGCAACAAGACGTACGGAATTCTGACTGGCGCCAACAACACGCCTGAGATATCTGCCGCCTCCTACAGACCACCCAGCGAGACCGGCTCCATGTACAACTACCCCGTCTACCCGTCACAGATGCCGCCAGTCTCCCTGGACGACCTCCCATTGAGCCAGCGCAGGGAAATTATCCGTCGCCAGAGCAGTTCCGGCACAATGCGATCCTCCCTCGAAGGCTCTAGGTCAGCCAGCGGCTCTTACGTACCCAGCGTTTCCGCCGACAACCTCGCCTTCGACTCTCATCAGCCCCTGCGTTACTCCAACGTTCCCTCGCAAGACGCCCGTGACGCCCGGCTCGCGAGCTTCCGAGACTCGGTCCGCGCCGATCTCCGCGCCGGTACGGCGTCCCCCGCTCCCGCCGCCAATGGCCGCGACATGGCGCTGAGCATGTTCCGGTCGCCAAGCGCGTCGAACCTGGCGGCTAGCCAGGCCGCCGCGCGCGAGGCCGAGGTGCAGAGGAACATTGACCTGCAGCGGAGCTTCATGATGAGCCAGAAGGAGGCGGAGGCGAAGCGCAAGGAGAAGGCGAGGATCGATAAGGAGAGGTCCGATCAGGCTTTCACGAGGAGCATGCAGAGCGGGGAGATGTTTGAGTTGCACCGCGAGGCGATGCGTAGGATGCAGAACCAAGCTAGGAATGCTTCGGGTGATGCATAATTCTTTTCAGATTCTTTCTCTTACCTTTTCTTTTCTTTTACTCTCTCTCTCTTACACAATATTGGTAGATACCCTAGTTTGGAAAATAACGGTTTACATCACAGAAGGTTGGAGGAGACGCATGGGAAAACAGCACTTCAGGAAACCGATCAAGGATACAACATGATACAGATGATGGAAAGATTACTTTCTCTAGATGACGGGATACGAGGTTAAGAGAAAATGGGTGTATGACACGCGAGAAAGAGACTGAGGCGGGATAAGTTTGACCGCTAGTATTAGTTGTAAACGTAATCAGTAAAATCAACTTATTCAAATAATCTGTTCTCTTGTAGGATGCTTGTGAGACCTTGATGAAAGGTATTGTACTCCTCCATATTGTAATTTTCAGGTTTTGGTACCACTGACTCTGAGGAATCCGAGGAACCGGGGGAAGGAAGGGGACGTTATTCGAGCACCCCTCGGATGGTGTTCTCAAAGCCGCGGAGCCGAGATGAAAGAAAACTCCGGCCGAGAACAACTAGTTCACACGTGCTTCAGCTCATCAATCACACGCCGGGCATGAACATCGGCCAAATCGGCACGGCACCGAAGCGGAGAAACCCCGAAGTTCTCTAGGTCTCGTGCCTCGCCGTATAAGCCGAAGCTTACCTACTCGAGAAGATGCATCTGTGTATTCTGAACCATCTTCCAGCACTGAAGTTAATCACTTGTTCGCACTTCCAGAGATCAAGTGGCCTGGCGAAAACTTCCTATGCAGGAATCTTGGACGAATCCCACCTTCGGACGACACCGATGTCGGGGTTCTCGCCGCGCCCACGCCTACGCCGCCCGGGTATAACCCGGCCCCGCCCTCGCGACGCGAAACCAACGACTCAAAACGCAAGACTGCGAGTGACCTGGGCGTTGGCGTCATCCATTCTCTTTTCCTTGCAAATCACCTAATCTTTGTCTGCGGAGGAAGACTTGTCCGGCACGGTTTGGGAAGAGTAAGTAGATAGGTACTGAGAGGGAGAGGGACGGCCAAACGTTCGGCTTGCCGTACATGAAGGGGCCCGTATGTTTGGGACATGAAGTCGTTTTAACCTTGATCCAATACAACTTACCCTCTGGATATAAGTCTTGGCAGCTCATTGCAGGCTAAATCTCTCACCTTTCCACACTTTATCTCGATAAGTTAGATCGCTAGAGATACGGAGGTCTTCCAGTCCCGTCACTACATTTAAACAGCCCGACTATCTTACCTTAAGGGAACTCCACCTTTTACGACCGTCCCGACCCGACGACACAACGACGCACCTCCGATGTCTCATTCGGCCTAAGCCGGCGCAAGAGAGAAGTGTGTGCCTCTCAGAAAGCCATGGCCGGACCCGTGGACGCCCGCGATGGGAGCGCGAAGCCTCAGTCGGCGACCGCACCGACATCCACGTGGACGCGCATCCGGATCAAGGCGGTCAAGATCTTCAGGCTCGTCTTGGCGCAGTGGCTCGTTATCGGCTTCGCTCTAAGCTGTGTTTTTGCGTATTTTTTCCCGAGTAAGTTGGCATCTATGAGCGTCCTTTTCATGTGAGATTGAGAGTGAGCGAGGGAGAGAGAGAGACACAGAATGAACTTGAAATCGAGTACATGACTAACAAACTGAACTACAAGATGTCGCGGCTAGAGGTGGACCGATCAGGTCAGAGTACACCATCATCTACGGCGGCATCGCTATCATCTTCCTCGTCAGCGGCTTGCAGTTCTCGCACGCGAAGCTGAGGCAGAATGTAGCCAACTGGCGGCTACATATTATTGTCCAGGGGATCAGCTTTATCGTTATACCCGTGATACTACTAAGTAAGAAACTCACTTGACATGAACATGCCGCTCATAAGTCCCCAAGGGATGGAGGCATTGGGCGAAACATCTATCTCAAATCGTAAACTAACACAACCCCAAAAGTCATCGTACACATCATCATCGCAGCAGGCGGCCTCCGCACCCAAGCCCTCGCAACCCCCATCATCGTAGGCATGGTCGTCGCCTCCTGCCTCCCGACGACAATCGCCTCCAACGTCGTCATGACCCGCGCCTCGGGCGGCGACGACGCAGCCGCCATCATCGAGGTCGTCATCGGCAACGTGCTGGGCAGTTTCATTTCCCCGGGGCTCATTTACGGATTCATCCCCAAGACGCCCGAGTTTGCCGACTGGCAGCCCGCGAACCCGAGTACCCTGGGCGCCATGTACGCGAATGTCCTGAAGCAGCTGGGTTTGAGCGTGTTGTTGCCGTTGGCTGTGGGACAGGTTGTGAGGTGGTTTTGGGAGAAGAAGGTCGATTGGGCGCTGAGGACGTTTTATCTTGCCAAGGTGTCGACGTTTTGTCTGATTTTGCTTGTCTGGTGAGTTGGTGTTGCCCCTTTTCATGATATACCCTCGCCCCTTTCACGGCTTTCTCTTCGTGATATATGGTTCTTGATACTAATACCGGATAGGACAACATTCTCAGCAGCCTTCAAAACAGGCGCCCTCTACGTAACCCCCCACCCCTCCATAATCTTCAACGTCTTCATGAACGTCGCCCTCTACGCCCTCTTCACCCTCATCTGCTTCTACGCCGCCCGCCCTCCCTTAGCGCTCTGCAACGCAATCAATCCTCGTCTCGCCGATTCCCGCCCCTTACAGTCCCGCTGGGTACCCAACTTCCTCCGACGCGCTGTCACGGTTCAACAGTTACCGAGAGAGCAGATGATTGCCGTCTGCTTCTGCGGCGCGGCCAAGACAACGTCGTTGGGAATCCCGCTGGCGACGGCTATGTGGACGCAGTCGGATGATTTGACGAGGGCGTTGATTCAGATTCCAGTGTTGTTGTATACCATCGAGCAGGTTTTCATGGCGCAGATTTTGGTGTACGTATTCAAGTGGTATTTGAGGAGGGCTGCTAAGGCTGAAGGGGATGAAGAGGGGGGCAGTGTTGGGTCTGGGGTTACAAGTGTGGCTGGGCAAGGGAGGGGGGAGGAAGAGGGGGATCGGTCATCTAGGAAGTCAATTGGTGAGAGGGATGATGAGAAGAAGGGCGGAGAAGTCAGGGACGGGAGTAATGTAGTGCCCGTCAAGACCATTCCTGAGAAATAATTGGTGTTGGTTCAAACGCAGTCTTCAGCTTGTTCAGCGTAATGTACGCAGCTCCACCTAACGCAAAAACCAAAAGGCTAGGCGTGAAAATGGAGTTCTTTCCAACCTACCCCCGCGAGTCAGCAGTACATGAGAGCGTTTGTCAAGGCGATCTCACTTGCAGAGGTGGTTCTTTTATTGTACTGCCACGATATGACCGGCCAATCAATCAGTGGCCCCATGTACGTTGAATACAGCGCCATGAAGAAACATGTCCTCCTGAATGGGTGCAGTAATTGAAGCCTTGTCACCTCACTACGTCCTTTTTAGGCCGCAAGGCAGAATTGAGCGCATGAATCAGCCTCATCTTCAACACATACCTAAGCACATTAGTCCTATCTATGCAAGAAGCGCACCCTAACAACATTTTCATCCCCCGGCCTTCATCTTCGAGCCTTCACCTTTGGCAGTGGCTCATCTTCAATCGTACTGTCACCATGGACACCGCCGGTTCGGAGTGTCTCGAAAACCAAAACTCTACGGACTGTCTGCTCCGGGCTCTTCTGAACATTCTTGCGGAGCAAAAACAAGCACAAGATGCAGGCATCGATTGGGATCCCATCACCTTCGGCTTTACGCTTTTGATTGGATTGGTAGCCTCCATGATTGCTCTTGCTACAGTCTTCCAAGCTGTTCTTGCGGGTGGGAAAGGTGGTCGTAGAGCAAATGGTCGAGCCATCGGGAAATGGTCGAAACGAACCACAAGGAAATGGATTCTTTCCGAAATGAGCTGGAGTTACACCGCCTATACTCCCATGCTGAGACTGGACAATCTGAAACGACAGCTTGACGATGCGATACGAAAGCTGAAGAACGAAGAAGAGAAAAAGCCGAGGGAGGAAGAGAAACAAAGGCTGCCGCCCTTGCTCCCAGCGAGTGCGCTTGTTAGGTTACTGCCCTCTGATGTTGTTGGCTCTCCAATTGAGGCCAGAAGAGTGGAAGCACGAAAAGCACCCATTCCTGATGTGCCGTCATATCCAGCTACATGGCTTGCTCTTTTCAAAACCACTGGGTTGGAAAACTTCGACGGGTTTGATCTTATGCCAGTCACTGCCGACTATCTTCCAGAGGACTTTGTTGCCGCTCCTGCTTCTGCAGAGGTTGGCGCGATTGTGGTAATCGCAGCAGCTGCTGGGGTCCAGCGGTTGGACGCCGACGCAGATTTATACCCTGTCATCATTGGCTGCGGCTTCCAATTTGATTTCCGTCAGCACCCAGTTCTCGGTGTCATTGGGGCATTTTCTGAGCATCATAGCAGAGACAACGACATTACGCCGACGCCTAGTCTGGAAAAACTTCGAGAGGCATCGCTGCATGCAAATGGTCTAATTGAGCTGCAGGACGGGAAATCTGCAGACGGGATAATCGAGACACACCGGACAGACCATCGGCTCTTCTTACTGCACCCCGAGTATAGACCCGTGATCAAAGGAACAGACTGCTTTCTCCCAGATCGCTACACCCTCAGCCGGCACTACATACCGACCGTCGTCTTCCTCTGGGCCAAGTCGCCAAAGTTCACTCCGTCTCTCTTCCCAGGACCAGTGTGGAAAGAGTATAACCCGTTCACGGCCATTGCTCTAAACGGAGGGTTTTGGAGTAAAGTTCGATTCGATCGATTTCAAGAATCGGACTGGGATGAAAATGGCCGTTCTCTTTCGTTCTTTAAGCAACCGTTTGATGACTTATCAGCTGCTGAACTGCGAGGACATGCTTTCAAAGCGATAAGAGGTGAAGTAGCAGGGAGAGACTACCCATGGCTCCGCTGTCCACAAGTACTTCGGTTGTGTCTTACCCTACTCAATAATCCCATGGATCTTCGACAAAAATTTTCGAACTTCACATTTAGTCAAAAGGAAAAGCTTCGTGAAGAAGCACGCAAACACTTGAATTACGCGGACGCCTGGCTAGCAGATTGCGATGGTGGCATGGGCAACATTGAAGGCCGGATTCAGCTCTTGTTCTTTACGACGCAGATTCTATCCCGAGCAGAGACTATGACGCAGAAAGGTATTCTTCAAGTTCCCGATAGAACGGAACCAACACTGGAAACGTCGGAACCGCCACAGCCTCCGATGACAGTGCGAGACATTCACTCCAAGACGATTCAAGCCCTCCACAACCTAGTCGATGGCTTCGAACTCGAGCTCGAAGGCCTCAAAGCAGCCTTGAAGATAAAAGTGGCGAATCACGGTAGAACAAGAGCTTATTCGCAGTGGCATAGTGGCAGATTCGGAGCTCTACGATGTCACTTGCGTAACAAGTTCTTCGGTGGCCCGCCAACACAGACAGACTTGGAAATAACTCCTGAAGATCGTGAATATCTGGAACATTTCAGGAGAAAGTTAGAGGAGTCTAAGATACAAGTAGAAGGATTAGTAGGACCCTCGTACAACGTGCCAACCAATTTCTTCAACACTCATCAAATGCTAAGCAGGTTAGCGAAAATAGTAGGTTGCCACTCTGAGTCAAGTAATGAAGACAGAGAGAACGAGGAATTGAATCAAAAGATTGATGATATCATCATATATCGCTCTCTGCTTCTAGGAGTGCTATTCTATACAGCTCTCGACAATTCTGAGTTGCTCAAATCAGGAGTATGGGATCGTGTGGTCCCTATCATTTGAGGATCAGAACGAACTTGGCGCGCGTGTACATACTCTATGCAACCGTAGATAGTCATATTACCCATCACTATTTCGTTTGGCTTTTGTATCAACTTTTTAGTCTATTGAAAAGGTCTTTGCTAGAGTGTATTTCCTTTTTTTGACCCTTGCATGATCCATCAGTCGCGATAGCTCGATAATGGAATTATCAAACAACGCTGAGTTGGTGTGCAGCAGCCGGGGTTATCCATCCTAAGCACTTGTCGGATTCATGCGTCAAAGTGGAGTTTTAGTTCGATTAAATAGAGAGAAGTTACGACGAAAACCACCTTACTCCGACTTAATGAAACCTATACCTCCATGACTAGCGGCGTCTGCGGCCATTCTCTAGTGTTTCCGGGGGACTCGTGTCACAGACTCGCTGTCTCGTTGTTAGCCGCGCTGTTTGCAAACTACTTGAGACTTTCTAGCAGACTTACTTTCCTGCGTTCTCTAAACTCCTCGTAGATCCCACGCCAGATATCTCTCGCGGCACAACTTCCAAGACCATCCATCATGGCCACACATTTAGGCTCTCTCTCCCGGACCAAGTTTTCGGGGGCATCCAACCAGGGCTTAGGCAAGGGCCAGTCCGAGAAATGTAGCAGCTTTGCCTCGTTGTACACAGCGACTGGGTCCCAGGCTTCTTCGTCGCTGCCAAGGTACCATTGGTGGCTGTCTTTGCTGAATTCACCGGTTAACAAATCGTAACGCCGGTGCGGTAGGACCATGGCGCTGTCCTGGTATAATTCGTTGACGAGCTCCATGTCGTAGTCGTTTCTTCCAGCGTTGTTGATCTTTGATTTTATGCGAGTAAATTCCACTTGACTTGGTTGAATAAGAATGACTTGGGAGGATAGGATGTGTTTATCTGGATGAAGCCAATACGCACGTGGCATGGCGACTGGGGTTGGCGGAAGAGAGAAGAGCTCGTCCATGTGTTGTAGGAGAGTTGAGTCCGAGTCGATTGAAAGTACGCGGTCGTATTTCGTCTGGTTAAAGGCGAGAAGTTTTGTGAAAGAATCCGCCCAGGTTGCTAGATAAGAGCTCCATGTCAGCTCTTGGCGGCCAGGATGATGATCCTGGAGGGGCGACTTACGATCTGAGCCTGTTCGATGTTGAACTGATATTGGATCAAGCTTTACGTTGTACTTCTCCCGAGCAAGGATGAGGAGTTTGGCATCATCTGATGAATCTTCATGTTCCTTCTCATGAGGATCAGCGAGCATGACGGAGGGGTACATCAGAACTCGGTCCGCTTTACTCTCAAGTTCTTGCAGCCTCTCAAAAAACATGACCGAGTTACAGAGATAGTCTTTATTAGTGACATACTGGACGTACGCAAACCGAGACCAGTCTACAGACTTGGCGTCAGGTGACTCGTCGTGTTGAGAAGTTGAGTAAGCTACTCGAATGGCTTCAATCTGATCACGGTTGTAGACTCCAACACCCGATAGCAACAATAGCCCAAGAATGGTGAACGCAGCCAACTTGAGCTGTCTCAGAGTAAAGATTGTAGGGGAAGGCCTGCCCTTCCATGGTAAAGAACCCGAGAAGGCCGCATCGTCGGTTTGAAGCGGCGTGTAGGCAAAGCGGCCGCGGAGCCACTGAAGCGGCATAATAAGAACGAGGACCAAGCCGCAAAAGCAATAATCGAAGAAAGCAAACCACGCAGAGTTCTAGAGTGTCGTTTGAACTGGGGACACGAGCTGGGGATATAAGTGCGCACAAAGACTGTGGCTCACCCACTTTGGGAAACATGCTTAAGCATCTGCAAGGGGGTGAGGCCAGCGGGAAGACATTGCCAAGTCCATCCAGCCGCTCTGCCCTGAACCTGGAGAAATTGGCAGATGGAGTCACGATGTATGCCATGCCTGGCGCGATTCCGTGATTCCTCGGCAAGGACCGCGCGGGCAACGGCATCTGGCCTTCTTGGCCTGTCGCTGAGACGAGACATTGTCTTGCTGTCATTTTGCGCGAACTGAGATCTTTCCGAACCGCGTCAGGCACCAAAGAGTCTCTGCGTTGGTTCTCGGCCGAAGCTCAAATAAAAGCAAACAGGGTCCTTATTGTCTCAAACCGTTCAGTTGGAACTGGGCGCCATTGGCTGAAGCCAGATATTGTTGCTCTCTGTAGGTCAAGCTGGGCAGAGTCCCACTTGATAAAGAGAACGCGCTGGCGAAATGCTTATGATTTCAAACAGAGCCTTTGTCTGTTTGTGATATCTGTGGTTGCAACTTGCATGAGACAAAGAGCTGGTGATGCCTAAGGTGATGCTGAAGCAAACAACTCGAGCCGCCCTTTGGGCTCTCTTCTCCCTTCTACTGCGATTTCAATAGCTCAAACGCGACTACGCATCTAAAGCCGGAACCTACAACAGCGCCGAGGCCTTGCAGGTGGACAGCGGCTCCATGTTCGGCATCGTGTTCCGGCCCAACATCAAGAGCTGGATGGTCGGGATTGACCCAGCCGCCCAGCCGACCCATTGCTGGGTCGACCGTATGCGGCTCAAATCAGGCACATCCGATACCGTACATAAGCCCTCTTTGGACCTCGCTGGCTTTTCGCTTATCTTTACTTCGTCGATAATTAATTTCATGGCATACCGTGATCCGTGGCATCCACGGCGCTCGCAACTGTGAGGGGCCTGTATACCATAGGCAAGTCATAAATGACAGCCAGCGAATTCTTCGTTCTTCGAATATGTCTTATTCACGTGAAGACACAGGGAATATGAGAAGGAAAAAAGGCCGAGCCGGCATGATTCGTGGCATGTTGGCTATGGAACCACCTTAGCCCAAAGTCTGGTTCGGCAGTTCTTCATGGCTTACAAAGGCCGCCTCAATTGCTGGTTGACAAGCCATATTAGCTCTGGGTGATATGTACCTGAAGTTTTTAAGCGAGGTTCAAATGTAACCGAAAACACGAAGTTTAGCCGGTAATCACAATTCAGCAAGAGAACCTAGATCTCATACTCCAGTTCACTCCATGATCGACATCAGATTTAAGCCTTCTCAATTCGGTATTTCATGAGTTCTGCTAGGGGGGCTGTGTTAGTTGGCTGGGCGGGCTGTGTCCTACTTTTCCTAAACTGATCTGACCAATGAGAGGCCAGGGAATATCCCGACCGATTTCTACTACTACCAATTGCCCACTCACTTCAACCTCGCCGTCGCCGCCCGCGAAAAGTGAAGCTATTGCGACTTTTCGACGGAGGTACCGCCAATTTTGACCCAATTACCCCTGAGTAATTGATAGAAATCGAGATTCGTCGAGATCTCTCGATTACCGCAATAAAAGCTAGAATAATTTTCGAATTATATAAGTTTACGTAAGCCGGTTCTGCGCGAGGCTGGCAGTAGAAAGCTAGAATCAATTGCTTGCTGTGGTTGGCCGAGAAAATCGCAATTATCCTATTGGTCAGAAAAAGTGGGACACAGCCAGCCCAGCCAACTAACACAGCCCCCCTAGCAGAACTCATTTCATATCCAAACTACATATTGGATCGCAACAAAACAATCTTCATACATCATCATGAGCAGATCAGTGCTCTCTGTACATTTTCATAAATGATATGCATATCCAAGCTTAATGGATGCCCTTTAACCTGCTCTTGTTATGCGTCAACACTCACACACCGTGACAAATGCTTAGGCTTTCTTGATGAGACTGTCAAAGAGGGGCTTGAGGCTCTTGGCGCTCTTCTTGGGGTATCTCTTCTGGTCGTTCTCATAGTCGACAAAAGTGACGCCGAAACGAGTCTCGTAGCCCTCGGCCCACTCGAAGTTGTCCATGAGGGACCACGCCATGTAGCCCTTGACGTTGACACCGTCCTTCTCGTGGGCATCGGCCATGGCCTTGACATAGCCGTCAAAGTACTTGACACGGAAGTCGTCCTCGAGAATCTGCTCAAGGGGCATGTCGTTCTCGCCCTTGAGGGAGGTACCGTTTTCTGTGACGTAGATGGGCGGGTAGCCGTAGCGCTTGGAGAGCCAGACAAGGAGGTTGTGGAAGCCCTGGGGGTTAGGGCGCAGCCAGAAAGACTGGGTCTCTTCGCCGATGTTCTCACCGCTCTTGGACTCGAAGAGGGTCTCGAGGTTACCAAGGAAGTCGTCCTCCTCAGGAGGGGTGGTCTTGTGCTTGATGTAGTTGGCCGTGTAGTGGTTCATGCCGTAGAAGTCGTTGGATCCCTTGACAAGGGCGAGTTCCTCGGGCGTAAACTCGGGCAGGCGGTCCCCAAGCTGCTTGAGCATGGAGTCGGGGTACTTGCCGAAGTAGATTGGGTCAGCGAACCAGGAAATGGCGAACTCGATCTTGCGGTCAGAGGCCTCGACGTCCTCAGGGTCCTCAGGATCCCAGGGGTAAGTGGCATCACCGTTCAAGGTGATACCAATCTGGCCACCATTGGTGGGCTTGAACTCCTCGCGGTAGACCTTGACTGCGCGGCCGTGGGCAACGAGCAAGTTGTGGCCAACGATCCAGGGTTCGCGGGAAGAGTCACCGATGGCGGACTTGCTGCGGTCTGAGGTGTGACCGGGTGCGAAAAAGCCACTGCTGTAGCCGAGAATGGAGGAACACCAAGGCTCGTTGAAGGTGATCCAGTTCTTGCACTTGGGAATGGCCTTGAAGACGATGCGGGCGTAGTGCTCAAAGTCGAGAGGGAACTCCTCACGGTTCAGGAGACCACCGTAGCGCTTGTCGAGTCCATCGGGGAGATCCCAGTGGAAGAGGGTGATGAATGGGGTGATGCCAGCCTCAAGGAGGTCGTCGACGAACTTGATGTAGTGGTCAAGGCCGGCCTGGTTGATGGGGTCGTTGCGACCACCGACAGGGATGATTCTCGACCAGGCAAGGGAAAAGCGGTAGGTGTTTGCGCCAACGGACTTGAGCAGGGCAATGTCTTCGGCAGTGCGGTTGTAGGAATCGCAGGCGACGGCACCGGAGCTGCCATCGGCAATCTTGCCGGGGATGGCGCAGAAGGTGTCCCAGATGGAAGGACCACGACCGTCCTTCTCAGCGGCACCCTCAATCTGGTAACTGTAGTGGTGGACAAATAGCGTCAGCAGGGGTCTCGCATGTTGTGTCGTCGTGGTCGCTAAATGAGGGGAGAGGGGAAAGATGATAGTGGGGGCAGCTCGGAGGGGAAGTGGAATTTGCAGGCGGGACGGGAAAGACGGAGGGAAGAGGGCGAAGTGTGGTGGGAGAATGCTTGTAAGTCATCCCAATCGGGATATCGGCGGAAGAGGGAGCGAATATGCATGGTGATAACAACCAGACCGGGGCATTGGGGATGGGCCGAGCCGGGTTGATGATGAGATGAAATACGTACGATGCGGTGGCAAAGCCCCAAAGGAAGTCGTTGGGAAGAGACATGATGGACGGGTTTGAAGGGCGACCAGCTACGGAGAGGAGGTTTGGTATTATGATTCTCAGAGAGTCGTCAGTCTGCGAGGCACCTACGCTAAGACTGATGGAGCGGTTTCGATGGGCTTGACGGTGGGATGATGATGGCTCAGCCAAGAGTAGATTATTTGCCTCGACAAGAAACGAACCACTTGATAACAAGTGGTCAAAAGAGATCGAGATGAGAGATGAGATGTAAAAGGAGGCGACGGGGAGAGGAGGGAGCAAGATGGGATCGTACAGATGGACAGCGAGGTGCTGCCACGATACTTATAAGATGCAAAAGAAAGACGGAAGGAAGCAGCGCGGCGCAATTAAAACGGCATTGTGACCTTGGGATGGACGGGGGTACTTGGACGTCCTTGGTAGGTTTAGGCAAAAGGAAAGGTAGCCAGATACAAGGATTACTCGAGTATAATAAACTAAGGTAGACAGGGCAGGGAAGGAAGGAAAAAAAAGATGGGACAAACACCCGCATCGTGTCAAGGTATCCGTCTGTACTAAGCGTGCAGGTGTGCAGTGAGAGTGAGGTACAGACTGGGCACATCAGACAACGACATGGGACGGATGGACGTGGTATCAGGTAGCGCCTTGGTCAATCTGGTACTCTGGACGTCTCCAATGTCGGACCGTCGACACCGAGAAGCTAGGACTAGAAGATGGCCCGAAGATGGATGGTGCTGGCGTTGGGATTGGCATTGGCGTCGGCGTTGGATGGATGGGTCGGAGGCGTGATCTGGCAAGTTACCTACCTTTGGTTCGTAAAGATGAGGCGTCCAACGTGAGTTTTCTTTGCCCGCCAGTAGCGTCTACTTTGAGCGGTGTACCTATCTCGTTACCCAGATGGCGCGGGGATTTTCCGACAGTAGAATGTGCGTGGAACACCGAAAAGAAGCGCATCGTCATGTTCCATTCGCTAGAGTCGGCAGAGGCTACGGGAGAGATGGAAGGAATGAAGGCAGTAGGGAAATGTCCACAGCAGCTGCCGCCAGTAGAGTGACCTTGTGCAACCTTGATGTACGTCTACATGGAATCCTGTGAGACGGGGGGCAAGCACGTCTACATCACGATGCCTCTTTCCAAATGAATTTGGAGGCGATGGAAAAGAAGGTACGAATAGGCAAGTATCTACCCCCTTCTTGCCCTCCTTGGGGTTTCTTCGACCCGACACCCAACAGGGGAAGTGCATCTGCGCCTAGGCCAGGGGCGCCTTCCATTACCCCGCCGTGGGGTCCCCTTTTTCCCAAGTGCTCCCCATTTCTCTCCTCTCCGCCGCCGCTTCCCAGAGTCTAGAGAGCACACGACGGCCCGTCTATCCGTCAAAACATGACCTTTTCTCTGCCCAGCTCGTCTTACGGTTTACCAGCACCAGCCTCCAAGAGCCAATTCGAAACACGAACAAACCTCGATTCCTCACCTGACGATCTCCGAACTTATATGATTGGACACTTGTCTCTATTCGGCACAAGCGCCAGCATGAATTCGCTGTAATTTCTGCAGCCCACGCACCAAGTTCTCCTTGCACATCACACACACAGGTTGTGTAAAACATATCGGTACGGACACATATGCACACTGGATGGCCGGCGACATGCATATCGCCAAACGCTGTCGCCAAAACTCCGGTGACGGCTCAATTCCGCCGGCCGCTAGCGCAATCTGAGCTGGTCCCAATGTCTGATTGCCTCGCCAGGATCGGCTGGTAGCAGACATGGAGCAATGCTCGCAGCACACTCTGCAAGGTCTCGTCCTACGCAATCGCTCGCATAAGGCGACCGACCATGGCCACGGGGAATCCTCCCGAGCTCTCCTTGACTCCCAGACAACGGGTAACCAGCCGCTACTGCCACGATTTTCCTTACTTTGGTCACGCCCAGTCTAAAATTTCAGAAAACTCCCGGCTCCGCGAACAAAATCCCGTCGCTCTCGGTGAGCGGACGCCGGACGGGAGAGTCTCCCTTCCACCTGTATCTACCCACACCCGGCTCGTCCAATGTCACTCCAAGAAGCTTCTCCAACTCCGGCTATCGTCCCATAATCTCCGCACCATCCAGCTTTCTCGTCCCCAGCTTTATAGCAAGACTCTGATATAGACGGCATCTCAACTTCAGAACACCTGGCATTATTTCAAGGCTTCTTGCGGTTCCCTTTTCTCCGTCCGGCGCTTTTATCAAGCGGCTCATGGGTGGATGTACAGATACGACTTTACGAGGAGCTGCATCCTGCTTGAAATCCAATTCCGCCCCTCCAAGGCCGACAGCCCCAGCGTAAGCACCTTAGTTTGCGCGATTACAACACGCCGTATCACATGAAGAACCACGGATCTGTTGTTTCTACGCGGAAGACCTACGCCTCTCCCGGTCATCCAAGGAAACGATGCAACTGCTTGGTGTCTTCTCGATTTCGGTTGACAAAGCCGTCTGCCCGGCTGGCGGAGCCTTCACTTACAGCCAACAGGCCTTTGGTCAAGGTAGCGGAAGCTCAAAACGACACAAAACAACACCACTTCCGGAAGATCATCGGAGATCTTGCAACTTCTATTCCCTGCTGGGGCATGTGTGTACATGGTAGCATCTACAGCTATCTCAAGGTACCTTCATCTTTGCTGCTTTCATCGTGGACGCTGCAGTCACTACAGCGCGCATGCCTGCCTGCCTCTTTGAAGCTCATTTCAATTCTTTCCGTAACTGCTACGCAGCGCATCCTCTGATGTGTGCAAATCAAAAGTGCCATCTTTTGGGACTGCCACATCTTTGCGCCAACTTTTCAAGACTAACGGGACAGAGTCTTCGCCAGAAGCAAAGTCTTTGTTTTGGAGACTCTATCCGGAGCCTCACCGAGGTGTACGGAAGCCGGGACGAAGGTGAGCCGGCCCAGCTCGAGACAGCCCTGGACTCATTACGACCTACCCTGCCGCTGCAATGCACGGCATGGGCAAGGCTTAATGCATGCCGTCGACAGCCGCATCCTCGTCCTCTCGGTCGTTCATTTTGCGTTTTCCGGGATGATTTGTCGTCATATTAACATCGCCATCCGCTGCTGCGGCCACGTCGGGAGCATCGTCTCCCTCGGTCCACTCTACAATCTCCCATTCAACCCTAATTTTCCCGTCTCTGCTATGATCAACAACCTGGCTGTGACGCAAGTTGCCCAAACGGGTACCATCGATCATGCCCTCGAACCAAGGGACGCCCTGGGTTTCCCTCCCAATTACCGTGGTTGTTGTCGGAACAGCGGGCTGTTCTTCCGGCTCTTCAAACTCTGGAATCAGCCCCAGATCTTCCAGATCTCGAAGGTCTTCACCTCGCAGGCTCGCAAGGGTCAGGTGGATGAACCCCGCCTCGGTAGGGGGTCTCTCGGTCCAGTAGGATAGCGGCGTGCCGCAGAAGCCGCAAAAGTTTCGTCTCGAAGGGTGGTGGTTGGAGGGTGATTCGAAAACGCGGCGGATCGCCGAGTGCCTTTCGTCCGGGTAGAAGGCGTGGGTTGAGCTGTGATACCACGAGAGTGGCACTCGGATCATGGCGGCCAGTGGGGTTGCGAGAGGAACTCCTGCGCATCAGATCATGGGTTAGCGGAGCTTCTGCTCTCGAAGAGGTGAGGCACGATCGGCTGTATGCACGGCGGGATTATTTGAGAACGCCTGCTCACGGAAATCGCGAGAAATTGGCGAGACGAAGCCACTTACTGTGCATTGAGTCTGTATGGAATAGCACCTGGGCTTTCTCGGTGGTGCCTTGCGGGACCTCGATGATGTAACTGTTGCGCCCGCACTGGCAGCCGCCGCGCAACGGACGTTGAAAGCTACTTTCGCTCATGGTCGTCGTCTTTAGAAAGCGGGTCAAGTATTTGAAATGACGATGATGGACTGCTGAATTGGAGGAAATTTTGAAGGTTAAAGTCAAGCGCTTGCAGGTCAAAGGGCAGAGACGTTTGTCGATGTTTTTTGTTTGTTTGGCGATCCTTACCCCAAAGCTGCAAGCAGGCAGGTCACTGCTTCACTGCCCCTCCGCAAGCGCAGCTCGAGGTGGGATGGCCCAGGATGAGCATCGAAGATTCCAGGTGAAGCTGGCACCTGTGCTGGCCGCCCTGGAATGGTTCCACCGCCCACTTGATGAGTTCATGCGCCAGCGCCAGCGCCACCAACCCGCGCCCGAATAAAGCCCCGGTTCGGGTCTCGGCGAACCTTCCGTCCTGCCCCGGCCGCTGGGAGCGCTGTCTGCGTGGGGCACTTGTAGTAACCTCATTAGCAGGCGTGCTAAGGTCTACACGCTTTTGCACGCTTTTGCTGTGTGCTGCGGTCATATTCAATATTGTGACATCCTGTCATGAGACTTAAATGCAAGTGAACTGGGGATTCTCTATAGAAATAGGATGCGGCCACATACAGAAACCGAAAGCCGATCAATCTTGCTTTGCACTTTACAAACTCGGAACGAAGTCTCTACACGCTGCCTATAGCCCCGTGGCCGCAGACTATTCCAGAGCATTTCTATCAGGATGCGTTTCATGGGAAGTCCTAAGTTAAGGTGAGTGATGTATCCCACCATCAACTCACATTCTTAGGAAACAGCGCCCCCGCAGCCCCCAGATCCAATCCGTCCAACATGCCCATCTCGACCTCATCAAGCTTGAACCAAAACACGTCCCCATTCTCCCTGATTCTCTCTGCGTCCGCACTCTTGGGAAGCGGCACATATCCGCGTTGCAGAGACCACCGGATTAGCACCTGCGCCGGCGTGACTGTAGCCTCCGTGATCTCTCTTATCTTCGTGACTGCCGTATCCCGGTCCTGTGGGTCGTCGTTTGTTCCCGCCACCCATCGTCCGGATACTGGTATTGGTTCCTCCCGGACGCCGACCCCGATACGGCGCCGGACCCGCTCCACGACCTCTCTCAACACGGGGTCAGTCCACCGTTGCCCGCGCGCGAGAGGGCTGTACGCTTGTACCACGATGCCGTTTTGTTGGCAGTAGGCGACTAGTTCCCGCTGTTGACACCACGGATGAAGCTATTCTCGCGACACTCATCAGCATATCTCTATCAACCTTGCTCTGCAAATTCCTGTCGCATTATACCTCCCAGCACCGCGAGAGTCATGCTTGATAGGTAGGTACTGTAGATACTCACCTCAATCTGATTCACACACGGCATCACCCCCTCCCAAACCTTCTTCATCTCCTCCAGCGCCCCAATTCCAAAATTACTTACCCCAATCGCCCTCGCCCTACCCTCCCTCACAAGCCTCCCCAACACGCTCCAAATATCCCTCCACCGCGCAACGGGACGATGTACGAGAACCAAGTCAACGTACCCTCCCTCCTCCTCCCCAGCAACTCTCATCACACTCCTCAAGACACTCTCATACATCTTCTCCCCGTCGCCCTCCCACCGTCCAACCTTAGTTGTCAAAAATAAATCCTCCCTCTTGACCCTCCCTCTTCTCCCAGCGGCAGAAATACCAAGCCCATCATCGCACCCATCTGATAACACTTCCTCCCGCCGTCGCAAAAACACCCCAACAGCCCTCCCAACCTGCTCCTCATTCCCATACAGCTGCGCGGTATCAATGTGCCGGTACCCGGCCTCTAACCCCGCCAGACAGGCCGCGAAGCACTCTTCCCCCCTGAGCTGGTAGACGCCGAGACCGAGGCGGGGCATCGTTCCCGTTGAGCCTGAACCTGAGCCCGGGAGCGGGATGGGCTCGTTCATGGTATCTGGACGTGTAAGGTATGTGGCAGGTTCGCTGTAGCTTGTTCGTGCGGTCGTGAGGACCCAGGGGACACAAGTAGTAAACGGCTGGCGCTTGGTGGTCATGACACGAAATCGCATCTGCGTGGTCGTGTGGCATGTGCTGGGTTGACTCACTGGCGTACAAGGTGAAGGTACTAGGCAAGCTTACATGGACCCCACTTGCATACTGCCGTGAGTGAACAGTCACTTGATACTAAACAAAAACGCACTCAGTGAATTGTCGTGTTGCAAAAAGACTCGCAGGGTCTCTTCCAAGAAAAGTATTAACCTCTTCTGCTTCGCCGCGACGCCCAGTCGGCCAGCGTCAAAGTAGATAATCATAGTGTTACATTTCATCCGACACCCAAATAAAAACGCCCAGCAGCCTCTCCACCCAGCCGATAAACACACCCAAAAGTCGAAAGGGCGCAATCAACCCGTCTTCTTCTTCTTCTTGGGCCTCTCCTCTTCCTCTTCTTCGTCATCCTCGCCATCGTCGCCGTCGTCGTTATCCACGTCGCTCTCTTGGCTGCCTGAGCCAGAGCTCTCGTGGTCGCTGTCAAACTCTTCGGCAACGTCACTCTCACTCTCGGCGTTGAAGTCCTCATCGACACTCTCTTCGTCCTCGTCAGCTGAGCCACGGTCGGCCTTGGCGGCACCAACAACCTCCTCTTCCGAATCGTCCATAGCTTGGTCGCGCATGGCTGCAGCAATGAGGTTGGTCTCTTCATCGATTTCGTTCTTAACGCGCAATCCCTTGAGTCTGAAGAACTCCTCGAGCCCCTTGAGATCCTCGCGGTTGATGTTGCTGAACTGTGATGAGCCAGCGCCGTTCTTCATCTGCACGGTGATATCAAAGGTTGACAGCGCAGAAACGGCACCTCCAACACGAGAGAATGTGATGGACGCTGTTTGCTCGTATGCAATGTACGTCGCAGGTTTAGGCACAAACATGAACGCCTTCTCCAGGCAGTACAGGAAGCCTTCACTGGCCTTGATCGAGCACTTGATACCGAACTGATTGCGGTGGCTGCGTGGATGTTAGCACAGATTCTCTCGCACAGATGGTGAGACACATACGTCTGGAAGTCCTTGGCAGGCGTCGTGATCTTCTTGTTGGCAAGTCCTCGGAAGATGTAGGTGATGACTTGGTGAAGGGGTTGCTCGTAGTGAGGCTGAAGTCTGTCCTTGTACCGCTCGTCTATTTGCTCCTCGGTGAGGTTAAGATCAATCGTCACCTCCTCGTCCTTCTTGAACTGCATGACGATGAACGGGTATCTTGTCTGACCCTGGCGCAGGGGCGGGTCCAGGCCAACGCAAAGAAGCACGTGAGTCTCGTCTGGCTTGGGAAGCACCATAAACTTCTTGATGGCGTCGTACTGGATCTTGTAGTCGTACGTCTTACCACGGAGACGGAAAGACGCATCGTACATGTCGATATCGAAACGACCTCTGTCGGGGTGTCAGAAACTTTTGGGTTATAGACAGCTATGGCGATTCGCACATACCTGGGTGTGAGATGGAGGATGTCCAGGAACGTAGCGATAGTATCGCCTGCGGTCTCGCCAATCTCGGCCTTCTCCATCAGGGTATCGTAGAACAGGGTGACGGCGTTCTTCTCCTCTTCGCCGCCGGCGTCGCTACCAGCCTCGTCGCCCTCCACTTCCTTCTTGACGGTTCCGGGAATGTAAAACCGCATCTCAACGAGCTGATCCTTGCCGGCACCAGCCTTCTTGCCCTTTCCGCGCGCACCGCCCAAGTGGCCATTAGTGCCAGTATCGTTCTTGTCCGTGGGAGCTGAGAATTCGACCGCGACCTCGTTACGACCCGCCAGGTTGGTGTTTGAGATTTCGGAGTAGGGGATTTCGAACGCAGGGCGGCTCTGGACGTTGAAAGACAGCTCAGCCTTTCCAAAGTCGGCCTTGCCCCAGTTCCATCCCCTCAGGGCGTGCTCCCTATTCTCGAGCGCGGTGCTGTACCAGTTCTTGAAGAGCTTGGCAAGACGCTCATAGTCCTTCACGCCAGTTACCAAGTCAGCATTCCATTCATCCTGAATCTAACGACTGACGCGCATCTTTACCTCTTGTTGAAAACCATCGAGCTGGATGATGCGCGAGTCTCGGTTGAGGATCTTGATTTCGTAGCCCTTGGCAGCTCGGCTCCACTGCGCCGAGGCAATTGTGCTGTGATCGAGAGTGAAGGTATCGCCACCGCCGGAGGGCTTCCAACCGAGACCGCTCTCGGCAAATCTGCACTTGCCGCTCTCCTTGGACAGGTCCAAGTAGATGCCGTCGAAGCTCTCTCTAGGAAGGGGCATCTCGTTAGCTATCGAACGATAGAAAAGTGGGAGAAGCTCCAATTGCGCCTGATTGTGGAATATTTGTATCGCACCAAATCCATTGTTTCTCGGCAACTCGACGGACATGGGATCTGTGCGAAAGAAGGAGCTGTTGATGGGCACTCACATAGCTGCCATGATTGCTGGCGAGAGGTCGGAAGGTCAAGAAAAGTATCGGCTGGTGTCGTCGTGATACCGTCGCAGAGAAAGCTATACTCGAGGCGAAATATGTGAGGAAGTGACGTATGACTCGAATCGCCGATGTTCGAGATGGATAGGTGGGAAGGATAGAGATGGCGGTGCTTCAAGGAGGTCCCGCTGATGTCGGTGATAAAATTTCGGGCGTTGGCACTTCGCGCTGCACTTTCCCTGGTCGCGCAAGGCTACAGCACGGTGGCACAGCGACGACGCGACTTTCATTAAGTGCAGTGGGCCCTTTGCTCGCCGCTGGCTCGTTCTTTCACCCCCTGGCGCGGGCTTATGCGCTTCTCTGTAGGTCCTGCTTACCTAATACCAGAGAGGTCCAATCCGGTCTAGCGCAATTACCCCGACTTCCATTGCCTGGGACGGGAGCTTGAACCTGGTGGGGAGCAGCCCTGGAAGCACACTTGCCAAGTGTGGGGTAATTTCCTACCGAGGACAGCCGGGCTTAAGCAGGAGCTGGGAGCTGGAGCTGTCGGGTTCGGTCCGTCAAAGTGTCTCAAAAAAAGCTGGACAATTGGGGTATGCCAGCAAGGACAGCTAAGCCTGGCTCGGGGATCGGGTAAGTGGAAGAGGGATTGTGGCTGGTAGCAAGAATGGCTGGCTTTCCATCGCAGCATACAAGTCCTTCCTCTCAGTCACCATTTCTTCCACATTTGCCTCCATGTGTTTGTGATCGCCAGCTTTCAAATCAGCCAACGATTTCATATTCAACACGCAGAAATTGACAATCTCATCCTCCTTATTACATCTTACCTCTCGGTTCTGTAGAAGAGGCTCTTCCAGTCAGCAGTAGCCATGTCTAGCCCTCCATCTCGTCTTAAGAACATCCTCGGACACCTCCTCTCATCCTCCACAGCCAAGGTCGATGAGCCCCGTCCGAACCACCACATACACCAGCTTTCGCCAACCTTCTTTCTAGAGCGTGCCGCCGCGATAGAGCCCGATGCGGAAGCCATCTTCCATGTGACAGCCAACGGCCGAACTCTGCGACGGTCTTACATCGAGTTCGCAGACAGAGCGCGCGGCCTTGCTTATTACCTGAAGAAGCACGGCTTCAAGAGGGTCGGGATTTTTGCGCCCAATACACCCGCCTTTCTCGAGTCCATCTTTGGTATTGCCGCCGCTGGCGGGGTTAATGTGGGTGTCAACTACAGATTGAAGCCGGATGACATCACCTACATCTTCGACTTTGCCGAGGTCGATTCAATCATCGTCGACCAGGAGTTCGTCCACCTGCTTGACGAGTTCAAGGAGAAACACCCCCAGGTCCCCTTGATTATTGACACTGATACCGACTACACGGAGGGCGCCTTGAGTGGCCCCTTTGATGATGCCGTCTTGGAGGGCCTGCAGTATGATCAGCAACACGGTCAGGGTTGGGCCGGCCTTCACTCACAATGTGGTAATGAGGATGATATGCTTGCCATTCCTTTCACTTCAGGAACCACGAGTCGGCCCAAGGGCGTAGTCTACACACATCGCGGGGCCTATTTGGCTGGTAAGTGATGCATGAACTGGTCTGAGACTCTTGCACAGGTATCAAGTTGTGCTGATTGTATTTCCGTGTAGCTGTTGGAAACGTCATCGAATCAGGACTGAATTATCACACTGGCCGTTGCAAATATGTAAGTCATGATCAAACCCAGCTCATGCTTGCTGCACCCAGCTGACCATGGATTTCTACCATCTAGCTATGGACTTTACCCATGTAAGTGCATCAGGATAGATTGTCGAAAGGCATTTGCTGACTATGTCTAGGTTCCACGCCGTTGGTTGGACGTAAGAAGCCTACCCTCCAGTCTGGGGCCCTCTAGTCTTGTTTGAACCTACTGACATAGTACAGATTCCCTTGGGCGGTAACGGCTGTGCGTGGAACGCACGTGTGCTTGCGAAAGATTGACTACCCTCTCATCTGGAAGTTGCTTAAGGAAGAGGGCATCACACACTTCAACGCAAGTGATTCCTATCCACGGAGTGTGAAGAGCAGACAGTTGACACAGGAGTTCAATTGCAGGCAGCACCAACAGTCAACACCCTGTTATGCTCAGCGAACGAGGCCGAGAAGTTGCCCCAAGAAGTGCGGGTGACTGTAGCTGCCAGTCCACCCAGTGCGCACTTGTTCGAGCAGATGGTATGTAACGCTTGATCCGGCTGCCGGGACTCGTCGAAATAGTGTTGACGTGGTTAGACAAACCTGAATCTCTTCCCCGTCCATGTCTATGGCATGACGGAGACCTACGGTCCCATCACCAAAGGATACCATATGCCATCATGGGAGACACTCCCAACAAACGAGAAGTACGCCAAAATGGCTCGCCAGGGTCATGGCTTCTTGACCAGTCTTCCCATTCGAATCATTAAGACAGATCAGCCGGAGGGTGTTCTTATTGATGTCGCCAAGGATGGGAAAGAAATCGGCGAGATTGTATTCTTCGGTAATATCTGCGCCAAGGAGTATTTCAAGGATGCCGAAGCCACCAAGAAGTTGTTCGATGGCGGTGCGCTGCACTCTGGAGATCTCGCAGTCTGGCATCCCGATGGATCGGCTCAGATTCTTGATAGAGCAAAGGATATTATCATTTCAGGTACGCGTCAACTCGTCGAGTTGTTGTCTCTCGTCGGACTAATGAAGGACTAGGTGGCGAGAACATCTCATCGGTGGCCCTTGAGGGCATGCTCGTACAACATCCCGATCTACTCGAAGCGGCCGTGGTTGCTGTGCCTGATTCTCATTGGGGCGAGCGTCCTAAAGCCTACGTGACTGTCAAAGAAGGCAAGAGCTTGAAGGGGGAAGACCTGATTTCGTGGGCGAAGCACCAGAGCAACATCTCCAAGTTCATGGTGCCTCGGGAGGTTGAGGTTGTTGATGAACTGCCCAAGACTAGCACTGGCAAGTTGAAGAAGAATGTCTTGAGGGAATGGGCCAAGGGAAAGAGGGAGTAAGTAGACAGGACATAGCAGATGAGTGTTGTTATTGCATGATGACCGCAACAATTAGAGAAGGTAGAAGGAAAGGAGGCGGGAAGGAAGGATAAGGAGAATGTGAGCTCTTCCGAATCAGACAGAAGCAAGATCAAGTGCCACTCACCGTCTTACACGTGATTATGCCATATGCCTTTGTGTGAGGTGGTTCGTCTGATGGAAGGCTACCTCAATCTGCGACCTGTCCAAATGCGGATGACAGCCCTGACGAAAAAAAAAAGCCACATGCAACGGTCAACGGTACTAACGGTCCCAACGGTCAAGGCACCTTCCCGCAGCCTCCGTTTCCAAACACCCAGTGGTAGTTTGTGATACTGTGATGAACATCGTGCATGGAGACGTACAGACCTAAGGCAGGTGAATGTTCCTCTTTCTTATCCCTGAACCTTGTTTCCTGCGGGAAAAGGCCAGTAATAGAACAAGAATGAAAGACACCGGATGGACAACTGCCTGAGGTAGGGAAGGGGAGACAGGGGTTACTGTTTTGACAGGACGGGGAAGGAGCGGAACGGAACCTTCAACACCATCGTACCCAACCGTAAGATGATGTGCCCATGTACCTTCAGGTAAGATGCGGTAGGCACATCTTTCGTCATAGAAGGTCGCCTGTCTGAACTTGCTGCTGCCTACCTTACGTTGGCTTAGGGCAAGGGGCAGCCCACAACGCCTTCCACAGAAGACAACCCAAGACTGACGGAGATAGGTGCAATCCGAATGGTACAGAGTACCTAAGGTACCCGAGAAGCAAGTCGAACCCTCGCTTAAGGTGGTCACACTGTCACGAACCACGCACCATATGTACGGAGATCAGGAGAACAGGTCACATGGCCTGCTCCCGCGGAGTGAAAGCAAACGTTAAAGCACCAGACAACGGTCGATTTCGCCATGTTCGAGAGCGAGAGTGACCAGTCAACTAACCCTAAGACCAGAATACAAGAAGAAACGACAAGATGCTTCTGTCGCCGTCGAGCAAAAGACATCCGAGATTCCGTGAAGCGAGGCGGCGGGAATACACCACGAGGGTATCCCCTGAACAGCAAACGGAGAGCTCGATGGAGCCACTCGGCCAACTTGAGTTAATCCATACGGAGACGAGTCAGATTCTGACCGGTACGGACTACGGATCACATCAAAGTCCCTCATCGACCATAGGGTAACGGTCTCAGCCCCGATGATTTCGGGTCCTCGAGCTGGAAGCAAGGCACTGGCCCCCAACCCTCCCAACTTGAGAGGGAGAATTAACGGGACAATACCCATAAACAGTAAAGAACATCCTAGGGTTCTCGACGTCTGATACATGGAGTTTGCTCCCAATGGTCATTACCTGATGACGCTGCGGCTGTTCACCCTGGAGGAAAGGCTTCTTTTCTTCGGGACCCGAGATCATCAGGCTCTTGGCTGCATCCTCACCGACAGACGCAGATCAAGATTACCCCCCTTATCCTCTGGCCTTCCCTTAGGGCTACGGTAGAAGGCGAGAAGATGGCTGAGGAGCGGGCCCCTCAGCTTCAAGATTGTTCCACCCAGCCACCTAAGCACCAATGTAGCTGGCTTTGAGGTCATCTCTCTCTCTCAAGTGAACAAAGGCGTCATACAACGGCTCAACCAAAGAGGAAAGTAGAAAGAAGATTCTTCTGACACTTGTCAGTCCACTCACAACCCTCGCACGTGTTGCCAACCTAACCGCCCCTGATAGGAGCATCCGAGATTCAGGACCACTTGAGTCAGACCTCCACTAGTTTCATTAAGCAACGATCTTCTCCCACCACCAACAGAGAATCAACAGATCTCATCTCTGTCTTAGTCTCGATGTCTGTCAGTATGCTCCTCGAGAGAGGGGGACAGCAGCTTTCCGAGCGTGGTGAAACCCAAGGCCAAGTCAAGCAGAATTACTTTCCCGGATGAGAATGCATAATACGCAGACACGACTTGAACAGCTGCATCATGCAGGCCGCTGTGGGTATAGCTGCTTCTCCGGCCAAGGAAGATTGGGCGCGCGGGCAAGTCCCTGCTCAGGATTGGGTGACGGAATCCATGTAGGCGCTGCACACGCCTTTGGGGGCCTTCCGGGCGCCCCATGCCGTCCAGGTCGGCCAGCAATCGCGGATCCTTTCGAGCGGTCTGGGGACTGCGTTATCCGAAGCCGAGCTCACATGGAAATTGCCCTATCGAATATTAATCTGTCGCGTCGGGTCCTCATAAAGCCCACCTGAACCCCTCCTCGAGAAAATCAAGTCTCAAAGGCACCATCCATTGACAATGTCAGTGATGATACTGCGAATGTGATAGCTGACAGAGCTTTGAGGACGCGGAAAGCCCATTTACGCAGCGAGTTACTAGACTTGCTCCAGCCGGTAAGTCGAGTCGCATAAGCAGCCGACTATGAGATAAGACAAGGAAAGAAGAAAGAGAAAAGGAGGAGAACAGAATGAGAGATGAGAGAGGGCTTACAACTTGACTCGACTGAAGATGGGTATGGGCTCAGTATGAAGAGTGGCCCGATGAGAGAAGAAGATGGGGGATGAGAGAGGATACTCAGCACCCCGGACAAGCCACGGCTAGCTTGCCGTACAAGTAAGAAGATGAGAAGAGACTGACTGCCCTGTCCTGATAGATAGATCGAGATCTCAAGAGGAACAACAAACGACATCGACGACAGGTCATTTATAAATTGGACTGCTACCAACACGACTAGGCGAAGCAGAGCAAAGAGGAAACGTCGTCCGGAACTCGTTCGGTGTGTCCTGCATACCCTGCGCCGCAGCAGCAAAGATTTTTTGGCGACAGCCCTGGAGTGGAGTGACTCTGGCATAAATCCAGGCCACCCCGATCCCCCCGATTACCGGCGTCTTGGGCGCCGGCCGCATTACAACGCGCTTCCCGCCGCCGTACGTACGACACCCGAGTCTAACTTTGAAAACTACGACAGAGTCGATTCACTTGAGCAGCTGTCGTGGTCGGCTGACTCTGTCGGAACCCTAGTCCTGGGAAGGTGTGGTCCGCCTAGAGACCAAAGTCACTCCACGGGGACGGTATACGGGAGAATCCCGCGCCACAAGTTGTCTCCCGATTGCCCACTGTTCTTGGGCAATCCCTGAGAAGGCCGTGGCGTCCGCTCCGGAACTACTGGCCAGACGCTCGTCTGGTTCTTTCTAACGGCAGCCTACGTCCACTGGGATTGTCTGGCCGCACGCTTAGTACGGAGCCTCCCAATCGTGGCTGGTTTGCTCTTCCTCGCCCGATCTTGGCCATTCGCGGATAGGAGGCCTTTCCTCGGTCCCGGGATTGGAAAGCAGATACGGGAACAAGGTCGAAGGTTCGAAAAAGCAAACAAAACCTGTATAAATCACCAACGGCTTTGCGTTGCTTTGGGGCCGGACGGTGGGATTCAGAAAGGGGGTTCTCCAATCGAAACAAGACCCCTCGCCACCCCCGGCAAGACGATACGATGGCGCACACGCCAAACGACAACACTCCCTTCTACGAGTATCTCGTGGATGACCCGGAAGTAAGTATCTCACCCGGCGTTGCATTCCACTTTTCTCCGTTCGGTGCCTTCCTCCCCGGAGCGCGGCCTTCAGGGGCTCCCATTTCTTGCGGTCAGGCCTTGAATCAAACGACCAGCTCATTCCGCGCCATGCCTCGTTGGCCCCTTCTTCATCTGCCGACTTGAGTGGTATACGAATGTGACAAGACAAGCGCTAGACCAAGCGATCAAAGGCGCGAGTGAGGACATGATGCCACGCGGGTAGCACCGAGCTGGGCCAGATCCCTCCCCTCCCCCATGGGCCTCCGCAATGAGAGGTCGAGTCACGATTCAAGGACCATGCAAGACTCTCTACATTATTTTGTCTGTCGGTGTTCGCCTCCGGTGCTTGGTATGGGATATGGGCGGGAGGCGGCGGAGTATCAAGGAGCTGAAAGTCTGTGTGCCACCCCGGGATGGGGCGATGGCAAGGTGATGTTCTCTGAACAAGCGTTCAGCAAACTGATGAGACAGACGGCGATGAGGCGCAGAAGAGTAGAGCAGGCCGTGTGATCGAGGATCACAGGTCCTTTCGCCAAAGAAAAAAAAAAGGTTGAAGACAGAAGGAAAAAGTCTGACGATTATTTCTATCAGCAGATGATAGCTTCGACGCCGTTGTCCCCGCACTTCTCTCCCGAAGTTTTCGGAGGGGCTTTCGACGTCGGCGACCGCCAACACCACGCCACTCGGCCCGGTAATCAGACCACCCAGCTGAGTCCAGGCCACAATCGGCCCAACGCCATCAATGAATCGACCACAGCGACACCACTAAATCAGGTCCAGGCCATTGCAGGTATTCCTGGATTGCCCATACCCGTATCCGTATCGACGGCGCAATTCCCGCAAATTCACAATCTCGGAGGACTCCAGCACCTGAATCAGCAGCACCAGCAAAACCACCCTCAGCTCCATCCTTCAGCCCTGGGTCTGGGTCTCGAGTTGGGTACTCTGGGGTTGACACATGCAGAGGGCAACCAGGGTCTTCAGCACCAATTCGGTCCAGCGGCAGCGCCTGCGCCTAATATTGCTGCTGATCAACAGGGGACGTCGTCGCATCTCCATTTGCAGGGCCATCAACGTGCACCCGCCCACGCCGCCGCATGGCTTCCGCCCGGATATGGAGTCCCGGTGTACCACGACAACCCGCAACAGCATGTCGATGCAACGTCCTCCTCCGCAACAGCAGCAGGTGTCAACCCACCTGTCACTCTCTCCGCAGCGGCCGGCCTGAGTACTGATGGCAGAAACCAGAATGTTGGTGTTGGCGGTGGTCACTTATACGATTTCGGATTCGCAGCACCACCACTACTGCCAACGAGTGAGCAGTCGTTCCTGGGCGGCGGAGTCTATGCCGACATCACGCCACTTTCCACCACGGTAGCTGTAACAGCTCACCCGCAACCACCCACGACCACTTTTGATTTCCATGCTTCGCCATGGCGGCCGCGGCTTCAAGACAGCAGCTCCGTCACACTGACACCAAACATTGCAGCCGTCGCTGCGGCCGAATTGAACCACGACGTCCGCAAGCACAGCAAAAGCAGCATGGAGACCGATAGCGACGTCAAGGACCCTTCGTGGGATGACGATGATAACGAGCCTCAAGATAGAAGGGGCGGAGCTGGAGCAATGAAGACGTCGTCGTCGTCATCGCCCGGGACTCGGAAGCCGCAGCGAAAGGGCAAGCGCCGTGCCGTAGCCGATCCCGAAGCCGGTGGCAACTACGACAATGACGAACCCACCAGCCCCGCGGGCCGGACCAGCGTCAGCGGCCGATCGGTCAAGTCGGTATCGGTCGCCTCATCTGCCGGATCGAGCACCAAGACGGCACCGGCACCCCGACTGCGCAGTGCCTCCCGCACATCCAAAAACGCACTGCAAAAGCCGACCGAGTCCCTCGAAGAACGACGAACACGCGCATCTCATAATCTGGTCGAAAAGCAGTATCGTAACCGACTCAATGCTCAATTCGAGGGTCTCCTCAATGCCCTACCGGAGCAGGTCCGCGGCCCGGCCGGCGCCGGAGACGGCGACGAATCGGACCCGCAAGCGGCGGCGGCGGCAGCGAATGAGGAAAGGCGGGTCAGCAAGGCCGAGGTGCTGGACATGGCCCGCCGCCACATCCAGAATCTGGAGCGGGAGCGGGAGACGCTCCACCGCGAAAGGGGAGAACTGCTGCGCAATCTAGAGACGCTCGAGCGGGAGGCGGCCGTGAATGGCGGCGGGGGCGGCCGCTTGGACGAGTTCCTCGACGTCGAAGGGGTTCCGGACGAGAGAGGCGAGTCGTCTTCGTCGTGGAGGAATGCTTGAAGCGGGTTACCCTTGACACCTGTACAAATCCCCCCGCCTACTTGTCTGCCTGCCGTGAGCCTATTCTATGATGGTGGTGGTGGTAGTCGTGATGGTGGTGGTGGGTGTGAAGCCAATGCAGTGCACTTCTGGAAAGGGGGGAGCGCGTGAGCTCAAAATCTCGGAGGCAAGGGTGCCGGGGGTGGTGGGGGGGGAAAGGGTTCTTTCGGAGTGTCGCCGACCGTCCGAGAACATGCCGCGCGCGGAGGGGAAACGTCATACCATCCATTGGTCGCGGCGGTGTTGTTGCCCCCGTCTCAGATATCGACGCCGGTCCGTAGAAGGGTGCCATCCCGCTCCACGGGTCCAGGGTCTTTTCTTTTCTTCGTCTTCTATTCTTCTACCCTATGGCCCCGCCGAGTTTTGCTTTTGGTGTCAGGTTTTTCTGTTTCTTTCTTATTTTCTCCGCGGACAAATTATGATGGCGGATGAAATCAGTTTCACAAAGGCGGGAAGAGTCAAGCTTGATTGGATGCAGATGATGACTTCCGGGATATCGGCAGCCCGCCTGCCGGGGGTTTAGGAGGGGAGGTTAGAATAGATTGTGAACCGAAGTAGTGGATGAGAGGCAAGTACAGCCGGGACACGGGAGGAAATCGCGAGGAAGAGGGGTTACAGAGATGGGTGGGAAGAGAAGGGCGGGAGGGCAGGTGGTGTGCATGTCTGTATGCGTGTACATGTGCGATGGGCAGAGGGATGAACAAGGTGCCTCGGGAGGATGGAGGAGGAAGTACGGTGTGGTGTGTAGGGTGAGGATATGTTTTCCGTCAGGATGAGGGTTGGACGGAGCTTGTAATTGACGGTGATGCTGGTTTGAGGACCAATTTTACAACTGCAAAAAAAGTCTTGGGAGGACTGCTCATTAGGGTGAGGTAAACTCCATTTGGACAGACGAAAGTATATAGAAAGAGAAGTATCATGGCTATGCTCTTACATCCATGCTTGACTGATGACTGCAGCGGAAACCGCATTTCTCTCTCGTTGCGCTTTCAAGTATGGATGTCTGTCGTTGCCATCCGAAGTTTTGACATGTCGACGTGTTCGTCATGCAGAGTACACACAATGCGGGACACGAGTCTAGACCAACCTAGCCCGGCTTCTCTCACTCCTCCGCATCGAAGCTACTAAGGTAAGGTGTGTGTGTGTGTGTGTGTGTGTGTGTGTGTGTGTGTTCACTACCGAATGCATAATGCACATCACCAAACTACGCAGCACGCCAGCCACGCCAATCAACAGCTCCGCCGTACCCAGCCAGAACCTGATGGTTGCAAGAGAGCGCATGCATCTCCCTAGAAATTGTCAAATTTTCATGCGATGCGTCACGAGGGTTCGTTGCGTCGCTCTACCCTTACTGTGTGTAAGTAAGGCAACAACACCTCGGCATGTTTTGATCGCGTGGACTGGTTTGTGGTGTGTCGCTGCCACTTTCTCAACCCCGCCTTTTCGCCAAGTTCATGCCTCTTCACAGCGTAAGTTTGATCATAGGGCGAAATCTTTTCACAGCAAGTCATTGGGGAGGACAGAGATCAATAGCAGGAGTAAATGGGACAGGTAATAGGAGTCTCTCTTTTTTGATTGAAAATTCTTGTTCGGAGCGATCAAAGGCTTGCATCCGAACCGCGATGAAATAAGGTAAACCTCCTTTTGTTAAACTTCCAAAGCTGGGAAACATCATCTCTCTCTCTCTCGCTGCGTACCCCTCCAGGGCCGCAGGTAATCCTTCTCGTGATCGCACAGATGCGTAACACGATCCCTCCATCGGGTTGCTTCCTTCCGCGTGTCCTCTCTTCCCAAATTTTTTACAAGTGTTTTTCGCTTTTCTGTTCCCCCTTTCACCCTTTTTTTCCATGCTGAAAAAACGAGGGGTTTGTCATAATCCATCAAATCATAACCCTGGCGGAGGTTCAAATCCCTTCCGGTGGGCTTTTGTGCTCGCG